ATTAATGGGGGGGGAGGGGGAACACCAAAGGGGACATCTGTAATACTTTCAACCATAAAGATAATTTACAAAAAGACTGACTAGTCACAAGGGACACTTATATTTGTTGTTTCTTAGTTTGAACTTTTCATTTAAATGGCCTCACACTTTTGAAGCATGAACTAAGATTGTGGACTGTCAGTCATTTAAAAATTGTCCAAAGGGTCACAAGTTACTTAAGCCCTGAATTGACTGATGGACATTTCAAACGTAGCAAATACCACACATTAACTGCACTTAAAAAAGAAAAATCCCAAATTTTGCATCCCCTATTTAAGGAAAACAAACATACAAACAAAAAAAACCCCACCTAATACTGGGAATTACCCCCGAGGAGTGGCAAGTAGCACCTGAAAGTGTTGCTCTGAAGTAATAAACCTTAAAGTGCTCTTGTGTCGAGGATTCGGCTCTGGTTGGCCTGGGAGGTGTGGGACTGTGGGCTGGGTAGGAATAGGCTAGTAGCAGCCAGACCCTCATCCACGAATGGTCAGGGACTCACTTTGGACGTACAGTGAACATAAAGAAAGGGGGTAGGAAATTTGTGTCCCGGGTTGTTGGGGTCAGGGTTGGAAGCAGTTTTAGGGGAGGTCTTGAGTTCCCTAAAATCCATCTCTCCCCACCCGCAGTCAGCTGAAGTCAGCGATGCAACATTCCATTAGCAGAAATGTTGTCAATGTTGGGTTGTGAGGATGCAGCTGCTCAGAGCAAGATCTAAAATTCTATTTGCCTTCCCTCTGCACTCAGAGCCGCCCCTCTCTCCTCCGACCCACATGCCCCCTTCTACTTTTTTGCATTCTGTAGGCCTTTCATTCTCCCCGCTTACCCAACCTCCTTCCCCCATTGCCTTGGGTGCTTCTTCCCCTGGAAAGGCCACTGGGACCTAGCGGATTGCGGATTGAGAGCCCCTGTGGCCTCTCCTGCCCTTTGTTCAGGTGGGGGTAGAAAGTGGGAGGAGCGGCACCTTGCTGGCGCCTGGGAGTGCAGCTGGAGGACCACACCCTCTTCCCGTTGCTATAGAAACTGTGTCCGCCCTTTTTGTGACTCCGGAGCTGAAAGGACTTAAGGCTCTGGTCTAGTCCTGAACCACCTTTTACATCAACCTGAAAAACACATCTCTTTTCATCCTGCTCCGATTCTCTTGCCCCAGTTCTTTAAAGTTTGGGACAAGAATTGGAGGACTTCCCAAGGACAGATTATAGTTGACCAAAACAGAGCAGACTCATAAAATTATCCCTACCCTCTTCCTTTTTCAAAGTTTGTGGTTACCAGAATTCATAGAACAAGTTTTGAATACATGTGTTTATCAGATGTATCTTTGTTGGGGTCAGGGTTGGAAGCAGTTTTAGGGGAGGTCTTGAGTTCCCTAAAATCCAAAGATTTTAGAGCACTTGCTTCTGCACCAGGTTTTAAAAACAGGAAAACTAAGGAAAGTTATAGTTAAACTAGAGGCCCAGTGCACAAAATTTGTACACAGGTAGGGTCCCTAGGCCTGGCCAGCAATCAGGGCCAATCTGTGGGGCGGCCAGCAGGGTGATAGGGGGGCCCCCACTGGCACCCGCCTTGGCTGGCCTGAAGCCTGCAGGGGACAGCTCCTGCTTTGAACGTCTGCCCCTGGTGGTCAGCGCGCATCATAGCAACCCTGTTCTGCTGTTTGGTCGATTTGCATATTAGGCTTTTATTATATACGATGATGGCAGGGTGGCCTCAGGGAATACACAGTATGGTCTACAGAGGCAACTGACATCCAAATAAAGCTTTCTGAAAAGCTGAGTTGAATTTGAGTTTTCAAGACAAGTAAGAACTCACAATGTAAAGAAGGCAAATAAGAGCCAACCTGAAGGCCCAGGGTTCCGAGGGCATATCATGGGGGTCAGGCAGGGGCCAGACTAATTCAAAATAGCTTGTGAGCTAAACAGACTAAGGTGTATGTGCGTGGATTTTAAGCAGGTGAGTGTTCATGCTCAAACTTTATTTTAGAAACCTCCCTCTGGCAATAATGGTATGGAGGGTAAGCCAGCGTAGGTTAAGAATCAAGGTAAAAGTAGTTAAGTGATGATGTTTTAGAGTAAGGGACAGTGGAAGGAGAGAACAGTTTTGAGCAATTGAGGAAAATAAAGCTTGATGATAGGATGTGAAGGGTCACAATGCCTTAGGCACCTGAGTTTGTGATGATGCCATTTACTAATAAAATATAGGAGGGAAGACTTTGGGGGCAAGAGGAGATGTTATTGATGATTTAATACATCAAATTATCAATGGACAAGGCAACACGTCTTGTGCAGAGTGAGCTCTGGACTAAAGTTCCTGACATGGCAGTCACTGTCACATAGGTGACCACTGGAGCTTGAAATCACCTAAGCTTTTGGATTTTCTTTTTAAAGTACAGAAAAGAATACAATCACAGAATATGACACCATGAAGGGAGAAATGGGTGTGACAAAAGATTAGAAAGCTGCAAAATAATGAAGAGTAGGCAGGGAGATGGGGTGAAATTATGAAAGATTAGGTGAGAAAAATGTATACTGGATTTGGCAACATTAATGAGCTTAATGCTTTCTGCAAGGCCAGTTTAAGAAATTTTAGGGTTTCAACAGAAACTATGAATTACACAGAGAAAACAGGTTCATTGAACTTGTGCCAGATGATTAAACAATGACATCAGTATCTAATGCAGGGTGGGCTCTTAATAAATGTTTACTGTTGAACTGCAACATATAGGGTATCTCAATACTGTATAACTGGAAAATATAGTTTAAAAATGGGGTAGGGTAGGTGAGGTGGTATAGGACAGTGTAAAAATATCCACTGGATAATAAAAATGGACAATAGCAAAATGCAAATGCTTACTTAAATCATAATTCTAAATTACATATTTTCACATGATTTCATAAACCAAAAAGAACTGAGCTACATATTACACATTTTTATTTACTTATTTTTTTAATTTACTTTTTAATCCTCATCCGAGGATATTTTTCAATTTATTTTAGAGAGTGGGAGGGAAAGACAGAGATGTTAGGGTCACAAAAGGAGAAACGCACAAGTCCAAAGTGATGCAGGATTATGAATTTACTAGAGGCCCAGTGCACGAAATTTGTGCACTGGTAGGGTCTCAAGTGGCTGCCGGCTGGGTGCTCCCTTCCTTCCCCTGGCCAGCCCCACCCCCTGGTTGAAAGTCCCTTTCGACCTCCCGGTCAAGGGGACAATTTACATACTATGCTTTTAAGATATAGGATTAGGTCATATGGATACCAGATAGGCTGAGCCCCTAAATGGCGCTAGCCCCCAGGAACAGGGAGTCAGACATTTTAAAGGACTCTAGGCGGGCTTTTTCTGGGCGGAGAATTCTCTGGGTGGGTCCAGATCCTAGGAAGATCTGTAGGGGAGAGATAATGATCTTAGCAAGTGGAATGTGGTCTAAGCAAGAGGGAATGCTCTTTGTGAAGTGGCCTAAAGGTCAGTCCCCAGGAGAGGAGGTATCAGTTCAATTATTTGATCAGACCCAACAAGAGAGAAACATTGATCTGAAAGAAACACATTGATTGGTTGCCTCCTGCACACACTCTGACCAGGGCCTGGGCCAGGAAGAAGCCTGCAGCCAAGGTATGTGCCCTTAACAGGAATCAAACCTGGAACCCTTGGGTCAGCAGGCTGACAATCTATCCACTGAGCCAAATTGGCTAGGGCCATATTACACATTTTTAAAATGGTTATTGTAATTTGAAGAATTTTTAATAAAAGTGATCAGGAGTTGGTTGGAATTTTCACAATATAAAATATTTACTACTATTTTATTCACAAATTCAGATCTAAGTTTCCTGAAAAGCTAAATGAACTAATAGGAATAATTAGGTACGTAACAGCCACCCTCAAAAGTACTGACTTAACATAAAGTGATTACTTTAACAGCCCCCTTTTATATTTACAACAATTTTATCATGAAATGCAGACAGTCAGAGAAGAGACAGATGGATGCAATGGAATCAAGAAAAAGATCATATCAAAACTTTTTCATATTTATTAAAGGTTTTGACAATGAGGACTTCACAAAATGTCATGAAATTCTATCTGCTATATAATAACCATCTATTCCTAAGTAGAAAACATGTCATATTATAGCAACTGTTTTAATGTGGAAATTCATTCGGAATTCTTCCTATAAAAATATTTGACTAAAATAATAAGCATCTTGGCAATAAAACTGACAATGTAGCTTAAGTAACATATTCCAGAAATATCTCCTGGGAAAAATTGGAATGTTTTATTTTGCCAGATAAACTCTGAACAAAAGTGCCATAAACTAGTCAAAGCTAGAAAGAACCCTCATGTTACTAGAAAAAAAAATAGCATATAATGTGGACTTCCTTCATGTCAAATAGACAAACACTAATGACAGTGACTTATTTTATATATAAGGATGTAGAATATTCTCTTCAGAAGAAAATGATATTACAAGATAATTCTTATAAACAAATCTTATTGAAGTCTTGAGTAGCTTTTCAGAGAACATAATCACAAAATGGGTAGAGATAATTTATATGACGTTAAAGGATTCCTTTATATTACAATATAAACACACTTGTCAAACTGTGATTCTCTTAAACATTTCTTTACTACCACACTCAGCTACTAGCAGTGTTTGGATGCAAAGGTTTAACACGTGCTAATCTAGACAAGCCAAGGCGGAGACTCTGATTTGGAGACTTAACAAACTCCCCTGCCAGCGGGCTGCTGCTGGTGCTGCTCCTTCCGGATACCGCTGAAAGAAAACACATCACCTGATGCTGATGACGTTAGAAATCTCTTAACAAAAATTAACTTATAAAACAAAAGCAAAAAATATAGTTAAGCATTGTTCTGCTATACAGGTTCTATCAAGTTATAAACAAGATCAAAATAATAGAAAGTACTAAAGAGCAGAAAAAAAATATACTATTGTCCATTTTCAAACATCCCCAGAAGGCAAGGTCGTGATTCCAAAACTTTAAGGGTAAAAGCTGAAATAGATAAGTTAAAAGCAAATAACATTGGTTGTTGATGCATAAGAAGATGAATGTAATCATTTCTAAAGTAGAAGAAAAATTTAATGAATTTTTTAAAATCCTGCAATTTTTACAAATACTCTTTTGAAAGAATCTATTTTTTTCAATTACTAAATCACTTTAAACATGACAAATGCTATTTTAATTTATTTATATGGGCTTCATTTATGCTACCATTCTAATGTAGCAATTATTGCCAGCAAGTATTAAATTTCAAATTTTAACCACTTAAATGTTCATAATTGATCATGACTGTAGTCATAAGAAGTACAAATGTGTGTACTTTTCTTCAAGTAAAGATTTATAAATATTTCCATGTTTCTAACCATCTGATTTATCATTCTTAATTGCATGTATGTGTCATATATCAAATTCTTTTAACAGCCGAAACCGGTTTGGCTCAGTGGATAGAGCGTCGGCCTGCGGACTGAAAGGTCCCAGGTTCTATTCCGGTCAAGGGCATGTTATCAAATTCTTTTAACAAACTTTTGAAGTGTTTACCATTTTCATATAAAGTTATAAAAATCTGACCACTTATTACTTTTTCTACTTTTGAATTCTTTTTAAGAAATTAATTCCTAAGACTAGTTCCTAGGCCAAAGGACAGGTTTATTTTTATGGGTTCTGTCAAGCTGTTCTACCTATAAAGGATTTATAGTAAACTAGAGGCCCGGGGCACGACATTCGTGCACTGGGGTAGGGAAGGCCCTCAGCTGTGCAGTCTGGGACACCTTGGGGGATGTATGCCTGCCGGCTTAGGCCCGCCCCTTAACGCTGCTTTGGAGGCGGGAGAGGATCCCACCACCGTTGCTGTACTCGCTACCCGTAAACCCAGCTTCTGGCTGAGTGGCGCTCCCCTTGTGGGAGCGCATTGACCACCAGGGGGCAGCTCCTGCGTTGAGCGTCTGCCCCTGGTGGTCAATGTGTGTCATAGTGACCAGTCGTTCCGCCATTCGGTCGATTTGTATGTTAGGGTTTATTATCCTATTTAATAATAGACAAACATGGCAATTGTACCTTCGCTACACCTCCCATTGGCTAATCAGCGTGATATGCAAATTAACCTCCAACCAAGATGGCGGCTAATTTGCATACTGCAGGCAGGGCAGGACAGCAGGAGCTGGCGCAAGATGCCATCCAGGCCCCCGTGTGCGACCCCAGAAGCCGCCTGCCTGCCATCCGGGACCCGGATCCAGGTCCTGGGCCACAGGCCGGGCCCGTGTACAGCCACAGAAGCCGCCTGTCTGCTGCACCCCACCATGATCCACTGAGTTATGAGGCCAGAGAGCAAGGAGAACTTCTGCCCCTGAGTCAAAGTGGGGAGCGGAGGACATGGCCTCCCCTCCTAAAGTCGCCAAAGGACAGGACCTAACCTAAGCCACATCCTCTGAGACAGCCAGGCAGGCACCACTGACCCTCCCTGCAGGCCGGGCCCCCCTCCCCCTTCCCCTGTCCCTGCACAGCTCCCATAGCCCCCCGCTGGCTGAGTCAGGCACAACAGGTTTGCAGCCACAGGGGCAAGTTAGCAGCTAATGAAAAATGAAAAATCCAAGAACAAACAAATGAAGCAGCTACTGCAGTGGGAAAAGACGTTCATCAAATTCTTTGTCTTTGAGAAACTGAGGCAGCCAGCACAGGCCCCTGCATGGGATGAGGCTTCTGCTTCTAAAGAAACATCCTGGGGTTAGAGGTGAGGGGGTGCTGCCTTTCCC